ATCTCAAATCTGCTAGGATATAATACACTTAAAAGAAGAAAAAAAAGACACATTCAACAATTTACAAGGGAAATTATATATCCATTTTAACACATTTCTGAATGGATAAAATTGCTTTCATTGCTACACTAAGGTCAGTAAACTAAACAAGTACATACAGGAGGGAGCAAAAAATAATAAAAATGTACAGTAATACTCACGTGATCTATTTTCTTCAAAATTTCAATTTCTGTATTGATATTTAAACCTGGGTTCTATTAAAAGAATCAAATACCATATTGGGTAAGACAGAGCTGTTCTGGAATAAGACATATGAGAAATAAGAGACAGTACCAGGAAAGAGATAATTCCATGCCTTTTGCTACTCTAAATGACCATAACATACAGGTTTTTTTTTTCCATGAAATGATCAGATACCTTCAGTGAATTAAATAAACAGAGTGCTGTCACTATCTGGATCAAGATATTGCTCCAGACATGAAATTTCACTGCAGGTTAGAAATCCTAAACTAGCTTCCAAATTAAATAAAATAAAATTCTTTTTGCTTATATACTTGTATTTAAACAGCTTTTCTCCCTCCAAGATGCTCTGCAGATGGGCCAACCCAACATTACACGCTACTATTTTGCAAGATAACATAAACAGATTCTCTAACCCATGGCTTAGGCTCAGCTAATGAAATCAGCTCAGCAGGGAATTTTTGCTCTTCTTCCAATCCAAATCAATCTTGGAACACACAACTTAACCCATACACAACATTTCAGATATACTCCTGTGTCTGTTTTGTGGAATGCCATGTATCAGTAATTATAAATCACAACAGCATCTTGAGCCAGTTGTCTTTGTACTTCTCCAAATTCTGGCTTCTGCCATTAGACCTTCCCTAAAGGCTTCATACAAGTTTCTTAAAATGTATTATGATGGAGCATTCAACAAAATTAGCTAAGCTGGTACACTTTTGGTCAAGACTGGTTATGATGTGTCTATCTGATGCATTTTAGGACATAAACCAAATCCCACAAGACTCCACACCACCCATTGGATAAATCCCATTACAAGTTCTAAATGGTGAACCTAATGGAATGTGGTCAGGAATAAAAACAAAAATTCTGTGCATCATACAAGATCAAAAAGCATTTTTAAATTAAATGCTGCAGACATTAAGTAAGAAAATCATCATTTGAGGATAGCTGAGGAGTCTGAGAAGTTACCAAATATTCCAGGACCACTGCAAGGTGGCCAAGACAGACAGACAGACAACAATACTTACTTCTTCATTCAGGCCACTCGCCACAAACTTCCGTTTGTTGATGATTTTCACTGCAACTTTGTTACAGGTGCTCTTCTCAAATGCCAGTTTGACTTCTCCACAGGCACCACTGCAACAGGAACACAGCTCTGTCAAAAATCTGTGTAACAAGAAATGCAGGAAAATGAAAGCATAAATTGGAGCTGGGCTGCTTTCTAATTTTCTGAATAAGGATGCTTACCTTCCCAAAGTCTTTGACATAATATATTTCTCTCTGAATTCTTTAGGAAACATCATCTGATCATCCACCGTAAGATCAGAAAATACAAACACTGGGAAGACAAGTGGACATCATTTTCCTATTATTAGGTTTAAATTTTTATTATAAGAAACAGCTATGTTTTTTGAGCTTTTATAGTCAACAATATAACTGAGAAAATAGTGCCTGCTAGAGGAAAAACTAAATATATGCTATGAATTTTACTAGCTATGGGTTAGCAAGGTGATCTAATTGCTCAAAAATTGCATTTTGGGATTCAATTCACAACAGTCTTTAAGTAATTAATTATATTTAAGAGCAAAAGGAGCAAAAATTTCAATGTTCCAGCAAAGATCAGAGAGAAGTAATAATCAAGAAGACAGCATCTTAGTGGAAAATCAAAGACAGAGAAACAAAAGTCCAGCCTTGTTTATTTTTAAGAGGACTTTCTATTTATTATGCAGGTATTATGCAAGTTAGGTATCTGGGTTTTATTTTTCAACTTTTCTTGAATAGCCTGTTTCCCCTGTTCCCACCATCATATGCACAGCTACTGAAGCCCAAAAGGGTTTCACAAACAGGAAAAAAACTATAAAAGTCTATACTCTAGTAAGGTGCTGCTTGATAAAGATTTCTTTAAGTTTTCTTTTTCAGGTTTTTTCCTAGGGTTGACATGGATAATTTTTATGTGAGTACTAAAACACCTATTAATGAGATGTGCTCATGAAGCAGCTCAGCTCCCAAGAAACACACTCAAATCAATTCAGAAACAACCTCCTGGTCAATACATGAAAAATCTACTTAAGTTAAAGCACATTTTACCCTTATTGGTCAGTACAGACAACGCAATTTCAGAGTTGTGTGTCAGTGGGAGCCTCCTCCCTCTTCCAACGAGCTCTCTATTAACAAATGTCCCATTTGCACTGTGGTCTTCAATGTAGGCAACATAGGAATTTCTTGGACCCATTTCCTCAAAGGGAAAAAAAATGGGGAAGATGACAGTAAAGAACAAATGACTTTACAATAAAGACATGATACACTAGAAATTTACTATTGTTGACTCAAGAAATGAGACTCAGTTTATTTCATAAACCACATGAATGGGGCATTGCCAAAAGTCACATTAAAGGAGTTAACCCTGAAGATACTTAGATTTCTTTAGGATCTCTGCCTCAAAGTCTCTTTTTAAATTATGCCAAAATAGACAGAATTAACATTTTTAGCACTTACCCTGAAAATTCGGAAGTGCTTCTTGCTATAGTTTTGGTAGAAGCCAGTCTCAGACAATCCCAGCTTAGAAAAACTGTAGTCACAGCTTTTGTCTCTCCCAAACCAGTACTCCTCATTGACACAGTCTGCAGAGGAGGGGAAGGTAGAGCAGAGAGAGAAGACAATGTTGCAGAAAGTTAATAACTATGGCACTCCAGAATGAGTCCAAATGGTAATGGATAGGATAACAGAGACAAGATTCTTCCCAAAGAAAGTTTAACGCATACAAAGCACTACACCTTGTCAAATTCTTCAATAATTTTACCCTCTTCAGCATTGGTATTTTTCAGTTCACCATCAGCAATATAGAGACATATAACTAAATAAAATAAATTATAATTTTTTTTAATTAAGCATGTAACAAAGAATATGAACACCCCAGAATTTCTGTAAGTCTATAGCAGCTGAGTGTCTGAGAACTCAGTGTAAACACTGGGATGTAGTATGGAATAAAACATTATAGCAAAAAAGTTCCATACCTAAATTTGATTATACCTAACTTGAAAATGAAAAGACACTGCTCTTCAACAAGCTGCTCAGAACTTCTCTGAGATCCTACAAAGAAACCAAGAGATTTATTACAGTATGCACCTACCACAGTTGCTGAAACCTTTTCCAAGTGCAAAGAGTCGGCCCCAGGGCTGAGGAACCAGCTCTTCAGATTCCTGGTCCTCAGGGATGGAGGGAAGCTCCTGAGTGGGAACAGTGTCCAAGGAACTGACAGTGCCAGAACTTAAGGAAGACTGACTAGTGCTCTGTGAGCCACTGGAAGAACTGGTCCCACTCTGAGGCTGCTGGGCACTCTGAGACTGCTGTGCTTCACTTCCAGTCTCTCGAGACATGTTGGCTTTAAAAGAGAATGTTAAAAAACCACAATTACTACAGCAAAGTAAAATTGGCAAACACTCACACGCTGCATTAATAATGTCCAAATCCATTCACAGCCTCAAAGAAGTAAAACTTACAACCAAAGCCTGCATGTCTGGGTTATACGTAAATTCCCAGGAAGTGTGCAAACAGGATGGTTTTCCTTTTAAAAGGCAACGTGGGGCGGCCTCTGCTGGTTCTATAGCAGAACTAGCCCTGATTTATTCCCGGATTGCTACCGAGCACTTCAGCGTTCCCGTAGGGTCACACAGGCATGGGCTGTGCTCTGACAGAGCATCCCCGCACGGAGCAAGGGACCACGGCTGGTCCCCAAACAAAGAGAAAACCGAAAGGAGTAAGAACTGTAAAATCAATTAGGTTTTCGTGAAAGCCTCCAAGAGATTTATCACACCTGTACATAATGAGTGTACAGATCCTTGCTAGATTCAGACACTGCCCCTGCAGCTGCCGGTTAATTTTCAGACCGACTCAATGCAGGAAACAGCCCGGAAATTCACAGCCTCTGGTGCCTCCTTCTCTATTTAAAGGCTGCCCCAGCCCCTCTCTAGCCAGCTTCCTCCAGCACAGCAGCGCTCAGGAGCCTTCCAACCTTACCAGCTGTAGATGGGGTTTTTAGCTGGTTACCATACAATTTAATGTACACTTCTCCTTATCCTTGCTACATTTCATTACGAGCCATAAAACCACGGCAGCTCCCAAGTTCCCGTCCCGTTCCTTGCAAGTGTTTACAAACACGGGCGAGGCCCAGAGCTCCGCCCGCAGACAGAACAGACCCACGGAGCCATTGGGGCTGGGAAGCACAGAGGCCATCGAGTGCCACCGCACGGCCAAAGCCACCGTGCCGTGTCCCCTGCTGCCACACCCACACGGCTGCAGGACCCTCCAGGGATGCTGACCCCACCTCTGACCCGTGCAGCCCTTTCCATACCGGCGCCTTCCCTCGTGTCCAAGCTGAGCCTCCCTCTGAACGCTCAGACGGCGGGGCCGGGCCCCAGCAGCCGCCTCGCAACGTGCGGCCCTGCCCTCCGGAGCTCTGCTGCCCTGGACCGACACCGGCACCAGCGGCCCCGCCGCCCTCACTGAGCACTGCGGCCCCGCGTGGCCGGCGTGTATGTCCCGGGAGAAGCGGGGCTCGCAGCCCGCGGCGGCGCCGGGCCGGGAGAGGAGCGCGGGGCCGGGAGCGGGGCGGGGCCGGAGCGGGACCCGAACTCACGGCTCGCGGAGCTCGCGGAGCCCACGCCGTCGGGCCGGGGCCGCCGTGCGCGCCGCGCGCGCGCCTCGAGCGCAGCCAATGAGCGGGCGGCCCGCGCGGGGGCCGCCGGGAGCGGGCCGCGATGCTGGCGGCGCTGCAGGCGCGGCTCGGGTGGGCGCGCCTGGCGCTCCGCGGGGCCGCGCTGGGCCGCGCCCCGGGGCCGTCGTGCTGGAGCTGCGGCGCTCCGCTCCCCAGCACCGATGGGCCGCCCCACTTCTGCCCCGGCTGCCAGGCTCTGCAGCCGCCGGCGCCGCGGCCTGACCTTTTCCGCCTGATGGACTGGTGAGTGTGGGCGGGGCGGCCGCGAGCCCGGCCGGCCGCGGGTCTCACCCGCCCTGTGTCCTGCAGCGACCGCTCCTTCCGCGTCGACCCGGGGCAGCTGCAGCGGCGGTTCCGGAGCCTGCAGCGCGCCGTGCACCCCGACCGCTTCGGCAAGAGGCCGCCGGTGAGCCCCGGGCCGGGCGGGGGAGCCGGGCCGGGAGGGGCCCGCGGGGCTCGGTGAGCCACGGACGAACTCGCCTTTAGCCTTCGGCTGCGTGGCGGGGTCGCAGTGCGGAGTCCCCGCGTCTCTCCCGCTCGGGGAGTGAGGGGCTCCGCCTGTGTTTGTGTTTCGGTGCTCAGAGAGGCTCTGCCGTGGATTTGCGGAGGAGCGGACGATGCGGGGCCGCTGCGGTTCGTGAGGCCTTAGCGCAGTGCCACAGCCGCCAGGTGCACGGAGCCTTCTCCGTTTCACACACGGACACTGTGGGGACGTTGCCGTTCCGCATGTAACAAAGTGTGTTTCGCCACTTGTAATTAGCTTCCAATTATTTGCCATCCATTTGCAGAAAGAGCAGCACTACTCTGAGCAACACTCTTCCCTGATCAACAAGGCCTACCAGACTCTGCTGAACCCTCTGAGCCGAGGCCTCTATCTAGTAAGGTCCCCGTTAGGAATTGCAGCGTTCTGTAACTAACCCTGGGGGCTGGTAGGGATCCCACCCTCCATTCAGTCCTTAATGTGCTAATTTGTGCTAATTCCCGCTAATTCTCCTGAAGAGGAACACCAGAGATAGAAGGGAGACAAGAACCAAGTTTGTCCAAAATTTAATCAGCATATTATCCCATTTACTACTCATCTTACAGTAAATTCACATCACACGTGGTGTTTGGCCATGGCTGCTCATTCAGAATTTCAGTCTGGCCCATGGCAGCCTTTTTTATGCTTTTTTTTGTTTTATGATCAGCCTATGTATGGAGTTAATTTTCAGACTGACTCAATGCACTGTAGGTTTATCGAATATGAATCTGAGTATGCCCCACTAAGAGACTTAATATTAAAGAAAATAATTTCCATAGGAATGGATGTGGGAATATTTATTTTCAAATTCCCATTTCCTCTGCCAGCTGGAGCTGAATGGAGTGGAGCCAGCAAAAGAGACAGACTGTGATGCAGACTCAGCGTTCCTTATGGAAGTCATGGAAATTAATGAGAAATTAGCAGAGTCCAAAAACAAGGACCTTGAAGAAGTTGAAACTTCCATTAAAGGTAGGTTATGACTTGAGGAATTTGTACAGAATTAATGAACTGAATCTTGTGTAATACATGAGTCTGAAAGCTTTAAACTGTGTTGGTGTATTTTTTGTAATGTCTTCAATTTGTGTTAGTCTGGCATTGACTCACTGCAGGATCTTCTGCCCTGTTCCCCTCTTTTCCAATGTTGTCTTTGCCTATTTATGCACCTAAACATCACATCTGTCTTGAGAACATTTGTATAACAGAACCTATTCTGATGTCAAAATAAATATATATAGACAATAAAAAGGAATTTAGTCAACCTTCATCAGGTGAGGGTTAGTCAATTGTTCCAAAAAAAAAGCTTGTCAGAATGAAGTTGAATAAAATGCTTGTCCAACCACACTAAATAATGTTATTTATAAAGGCATTGTAGTTTTTCACCTTCTTCATCTGGCAGCCATTATATTAAGTGGTTCTTCTCCTCACACAAGCAACTTTCTTTTTATATTGTTGCTGATACCAAAAACATTTGGTTTACTGATATATTTAAATCTTTTCAATAACAGCTATATGCTAAAAGCAACTATAATAACTAGAATAAAAACTGAGTAGCACAGGAGAAAGTTAGCTGTAGCAGGGTAAACTGATACACCAAAAATAAGTTAGATTGCTGGGAAATTATTGCCCATTGGTGTGCATTGGAATTGCTGTCAGTATACCTGTTTAAATAAAGAAATACATGTTTGAAATGATAATTGAAACAACACTGACAGCAGTATAAGGAAGAACTCACTTGGCTCCCAAAGGCTGAAAGTAGTAATGAGCTTTCCCACCACAGGCAGTGAGAATGCAGTGGTATCAAATATCCAAATTATGACAAAAAGTAAATGAAATAATTTGTTTTGCAGTTAAACAAGAAGAACTGACCAGAGAGGTGACTGCAGCTTTTGAAAGAGGTACCTGATTTTATGAAGTTTTTAGCTGCCATACATACCTGTCAAATGCTTAAAACTCTACATTCTCTTCCTGGCAAATATTTCCTGAGCTATGGAATAGAAATACTGCATTGACAAGGGTTCTTTGTTAGGTATTTAGAATAAGTACCTCTTAACTGACATTCTTGCTGATTTGGGAAATTCAGGACCTCACATTAAAAGCAAAGTCCAGTACAAAAGTTCCATTCATCTTGCATCTAAATAACGATTTTCAGTGGGAATGTAGATGCTAGGAAATTGTTTGTGTGTTTCCCAGAATGCTGGGAAGGACAGATGTGATCTTAGACATGTTCTGAGGTTTCACACTTGAATCTGGGAGATGTTCTGCAGTCCTGGAGCTGCAGCAGAGCAGTGAGTGCTTTCTTTGCCGTGAAAGCCACAGCTGCTGTGTGGCAAGTAAAGGCCTGTTCAGCACAGCATTTGGGACTTCCTGTGCAGTAATCAACATAACTTCATTCTACAGCCAGTGGATAGGCACAGGCTTGAACCATTCCTGAGCTTCTGAAGCTGAGAAAAAACCTTTGTGTTTGTGTGCCAGGTCCAGAATGCTGCACTTTGGTCGGGGTGCGTGTAACTGTAAATATCCCAGTGGTGCTGGCTGGCCCTGCCCATGAGGAGTTACATTCTGTTACTCTGTGCCATGACAAGGACTGTGTTGCCTTTGTCTGGAGGTCATAAACCACCCTCCCCTTGAGCAGAAATTGTTTCAATATCAGTTTTGGAATTGGTACTCTCCAGACCAGACTCCTCCTGTTTGCATTTTTCAGTTAAGTCAATTGGTCTATTTATACACATTTTAAACAAAAACATTTGTCTTGCCTAGTGGGTATATCAATACTGCAGCCACTTTACAGGAGTCCTTAAAGGGCATTCATCCACATTTCTGTTCCAAATTGTTCATTGTTACAGGTTTTGTGGAACATTTGAAATGTTCCCAAACCATCTGAGGTTAAAACAATAGGCAGCATGGTTTTAATAGAGTCTGAGTCCTTGCAGGTCACAACTCTTGCTACTAAAACAGGTGCTGTCACTGAAATCTTGAGATCATTTTGAAAATGCAAATTCACCTCTCCCTCTGTAAACCAGTAATGTTTTATTTCATTTCAGATGATCTGCAAGAGGCCAAGAAGCTGCTAGGAAAAATGAAGTATTTTGCCAACTTAGAAGATAAACTAAAGGCCAAGAAGATCCCTTCCTGATGTTGCCTTGTTAGCTATTCAGAGTTAGTGTTATTTTCAATTAAACAAATGGTTCTATTAGCAAAATCAAACCAAGGGTGTTTGTTTCCTATACTTCCATTAAAAGCTTTAATTCTGAGAGGAGGAAAATAAATAGAAAAGAAATCCCATGCTTGCTGCAGCACTTGGGTAACAGATGGCATTTGGAAATGCTTACAGCCAGGAAAGGTTGCACTGGGTAAGGTCAGCCACTGTCCTGGCAGTGGCAGGTGTGGAAACAAATATCAGAGAGGCACACAAACACCAGATGTGAGATTTCTTACTTCCTAACATGTGAAGAATTTACTTTAAGTTGAAAAAGAGTCCATGAAAAAATACTGGAGAGGGGGCAGAAGGCTCATTCAACATGTCTTCTATAATTTAAAGGTAAAAAGTATTTAATTCCTGTCATCTGTCCTCTCTGCTACTTCATGCTTTTGGGTATGTAGATCTCAGTCTGATGGGAACTAACCTCCAAAACTAGAATAAGTTTTACCCTGTTGCATAGTTTAAAATGTTAAGATGCTAGGTTAGGGGAAAAAATAAACCAAATTGAAAGCCCAGGTAGTGTTATATCAGGATAAAAGTTTTTATTACAAATACCAGCAATCAGAGTGCTGTACTTTCATTGCACAGTACAGTGGTAGGACTGGATGAGGAATGTCTTTAAGGCTTTCAAAGTTACATAACTGGAAAAACAGAAACTAAATACCACTATTTCTATATAAACTGGAGTATTTCAAATATCAGCTATCAGTTCTTGTATGGCTTTTAACAAGAACTCAGAATATTACACTCAGCAAAGCATTTGGATGTGCCCAATGACCCAAGCTGAACACAGGGCTTTGAAATGCAAGAGTTGCTGAATTCTCTGCAGAAATCTGCCAGAGGGGCTCACTGAACATCCTCCCTGGCATTTCTGCATCCCTACAGCACCAGGTTACAGCTAAAGATCAAGTTTGCTGTGGATAATAGAATAAGTTGTCAATAGTATTGCAGCAATACATGTTTTAACAGCAGTGCTAACTTGCCTTTAGTTACACTTCCTCTAAATACACAGGAAGATTTAATAAGCCACTTGATCATGGATTACAAGGTTCATAATTCTCACTGAAGTTCTGTTGCATTTGTGAAATTATGCAGAAACCTTTAAAAATTCATCTTGGAGTTGCCTTCTTTCATAAAGCTCCGTTTCCTTTTTCCTGGCATTTCTTCCAAAGTTAAGCTTGTTAAATTCCTTTTTGATTTCCAGAAAAGATTTGTTTTTTGTCTCAGGAATTACGAGGAAGATGAAGGCAGCAACAAAGAAACACTCCAGTAAGAACACCACAAAACAATACTGCTTCAGTCCATTCTGAAAATAAATGTGATTGCAACATATTTCAAGAGTAATAATAGTAGGTTTGAAACATGCTTTTTGTTTCCATTTACACTTAACATTGCTGCTCAGATTTTTTCTAAAAGGAGTCATTCAACCTAATCTTTACCTGTAACTTTTTAGATAAAAGAGTGTCAAGGGCTGTGCAATAGACTTTTATTTTAAAAATAAGATAAACCATTTCAACAGTCAAATGTCACAATCTAGAAGTCAACATTTGCTACTATCTGTCACATAGTTTAAATAATATGTAATTTAAATTTCTATGAGTGTTAATATTTTTCAATGCTGTGCATTAAAAAAAACAACTGTCTTACTGAGAAGTACAGCTCAGCCATGAAGAAAGGACAGGCAGATCCAGATTCATGCTGTTCCTGCACATCTTGCTGTCAAGAACATGTGCTAAAACTAAAAATACAAAGCTGGAGATGAAAGCCTGTCTTGCCTTTCCTAATAATCTGCTTACAGAACTCTATCAGTTCAGCAAGTTCTCAGGGATGTGACTTATTTGCCACAGGTACCACCTGAATGTTACTTTGCCATAAAAGCACAAGGCACTATTAAAAAATGTTTTGTGTAAATCTCAGTACCTGATTAAGTTTTTCTGCTTTTGATACCTTCTGTTTTTTTTCATCTGAACACGAGCAATACCCTCCAGTGCATTCCTTTACTTTTCATTTATCATGTTATATTGAGCTTTGTGATGTGCAAAAAATACTTTTAAGAGGGACTGAATCTAGTTAAACTCATTTGAGGGGCAGTGTGCATCCTGGTCAAGTGTGAATTATATATACAAGTGTATATAATGCAATACAAGCAATGGGATGGAAGCTGGGAGCAGGTGAAATGAAAATTTTGCTGTTCATACTCACCACTATGAAGGGGAAGAGCATCCCAACCGTGAAGAAACTAATCCAGCTCACAGTGCCTGCAATCATGTAGGCAGCAGGACGTGAGGACTGCACAAATAACTCAGCTGTTAGGGTGTTTGTTATGCCACCTGGGGATGGTTCAGAAACAGAGAATTGTGCTAAATGTCCATTTGAGGTACTTCCAATGCTACAAAAGATTGATTGCTTTTGAATATGCCATTAGCTGATCTATTCTAATTCCTCACAGCACAAATCTGAGGCTGCTGCCCTTGCAGGAAGTTTCCCACTAAAACACAGCCCCATTTCAGCAGCACAGATCAGGGAGCAGGCCTTTTCTGACAAGTGTGGAACCCCTGTGCTCTGAAGGGCAGAACTAAGCCCTCCCTCACATGTAGCTGCCCCAGAATCAGCAATGGTAAGCCTCAGCTCTGGGCTACAGGATGGCCTCACTTGGGTTCTGCAGAGGCCTCTTGGCTGTGTGACACCCTGGCCCTCCCAGACCTTCCCCCTCACACACATTCCTGTGCAGTACCTGGGCCCAGCCCAAAGCTCAAGATGAAGGCAAACACACACATCATGCTCATGTAAGGCACCCAGGAGTACAGCTCCTGAAACAGAAGACAATGAGAAGGTTTAGCTCAGATTTTGATAATCCAGTTTTAAAGTCTGGCTTAACAGTTATGTTTCCTTCTGTATTTTATTTCAATTAAGACCAGCAGTCTTTCACGACTCTTTTACAGCTAATTTATTTAACAGTTCTGCTTCAGAGAAATTAAATAGTGTTCATTCAATAATTTTTACTAAATCATATAATAGAATTATGTAGTCATAGTGTGGGCTGGGCTGGAAGGGGCTTTAAAGCTCATCCCATCCCACCCCTGGCCATGTGCAGGGACACCTTCCACTATCCCAGATTGCTCCAAGCTCCATCCAACCTGGCCTTGGACACTTCAGGGATGGGGCAGCCACAGCTTCTCTGGGCACCCTGTGCCAGGACCTCAGCACCCTCAATTTCTTCCTTGATGCCTCATCTAACCCTACTCTCAGTTTAAACCCATTCCCCCTTACTGTGTCACCATGTGCCCTTTCCACTCCTCAGTCACACTGGGTAACAGGAACGAGTCCTTTGCACCTGGTAAGTCAGAGAGAAGGTCAGAACAGTGCACCAGAGAGTCATGAGGAGATAACCCCCAATGATAAGGCATCTTCTTCCCACATAGTCTATCAGTAAACCCTGTGAACAAGATACAACCTTCTGTTAATATACTGATCTCATTTTTACTAATATTCTTCAAGAAGAATCATTACTGTTTGTACTGGGAGGTAGAACAAACTGCTCCTTACACAGGAGAGGGCTGTGAGACACTCACAAACTCCAGTGCCAAGTGTCACATACGGGATTTTTTCTGCCACGATCCCAGCTTGTTCAAAAACGTACGTTGCATAGAAATAAATCTACATCAGGAAAAAAACAAACAAACAAAAAACAATGAGGTTTTTCTGGCATTTAAAACATTGTCTGGAAACAAAGTCATGTTCATACTAAACATATAGATCAGTGTATTTTATGTTGTGAGTTACTAATTCAACATAAGCAGTAATAACAATCTGTTAAATTCAGGTCTAGGTAAACATATTGCTATCATAAAAGCCAAGGGGATTATTCAGCTTACTGAATATGTTTTATATTCTTAAACCAGACACACTCGATAAACTGATCCACCTTTATTTATTTTTCAGAGGAAGTATCAAGTCATTCTTTAGAAAAGTTTTCACACCAGAAACCCAGAAATGAGGAAAAAAAAAAAAAAAAGAAAACCACCAAAATAATGCAAGGACATTCTTTCCCATTTATCCCATTTTGCTGAGTTTCTCTACGTGGATCTTTTGTGCTAATAAATGGTTGAACAACAGGTGGAAATGAAATAATTATTTAAGCTGTTTGTTGACTCTTACAGCATTAATGCCACTGAGCTGCTGGCCCATGGTCATCACGATGACAGTGATGAGCTGCCATCTCACAGCAGGGTCAGTGAACAACTGCCAGGGCTTCCTGGGCTTCTCCCCCTGCAAGGCAAAGCATTCCCGCTGGATGTCCTCCAGCTCCCTGCGGTACTCTGAGGAACCATGAAATCGCTTCAAAGCTACAAATAGAAAAAAAAATTACATTTATCTATTAACCACAGCTCCTGGGAAATAATCTCTTTTCATAAAGACCTGGCTTTTGTTAGGATATGAAAAAATTTGCTTTGTGATTTGCTTGTTCCTTGCTGGTTTTTCAACATTTTTTGCTGTGGTGAATTTGGAGAATTCTGTGGCATTTCTTTCCTTCTTTTTAGAGGAATATCTGGCCTTGAAATATTCACCAGGCAAAATATTACGTATCTGAACCTCAGACCTTCAAATAGTCTTTTCCTTAAAGGACACTCTTGCCATTTGATTAGTTTTGCTTAAATTCTAGGCAGATATTGATTCCTTTGTTATGGTCGTGACCTTAATGTTACCAATGGATGCAGTTAGTGAGCTGGAGCAAAGACAGGAAATCCTTCTCCGAAGGCAAATATAATCAGAATTCATTTGGATCCCAGACTAAAATCTTTACAAATGGTCTTAAAGACTATACAGCATCAGTTCCTCTAAAATCTTCATTCTCAAATGACAATCTATCTTCTTAAGGTCAGCAGTAGGAATTTTGATGATCCTGATAATGAACTTTCCTCTGACAGTAATCAGCTTGGAGCTCCAGTCAACAAGAGGACAATAAAGTTTCGTTCATAACCCATTATGGGCTCCTGAATTCCACAATCCCTGCTTCCATATTAGCTCACTGGAGGTAAAACATGGGCCAAAAAGCACTAGATGATACAACTGTGCTGTGTGGATAAAGACAAAAGGAGAATCTGGAACCCAACATATTCATTGTACCCTTCTGGAGAACAGAAAGTACAGATATTACCTTTGGCACAGCTCAGCTCATCACCTCTGTCAATAAGAAGATATCTGGGACTTTCAGGAAACCATGGAAGGAATAACAGTTGGGCTAATGCTGGAATACAGCTGCTGGATAGCAACAGAGGCCACTGCTTTTCTCCACCCAATAATTCTCTGTGAGAAATGTGGAAAAAGAAGGCAAAGAAATAGAATAATTTGCTATTGGTTACTATTTAGTGCAGTCTTTGCTCTTGGAACTTTCTAAGTTCCAGCTGGATGAAGGCCTGAGCAACTTCTTCTGATCACACAGGGGACAAAAGCAGTGCTAGTGCTGTGATACAGAAATGTGAGTCCTTTGCTCTCAAGTCCTTGCCAACATCCTCTGTCTCCAGCAAGAAACTGGCAAAAAACATGAACTCAGCTCAAATGTGGCTGCTTTGCTGATGCTGTTGTGGTGACCCATCTGAACTGACACTGCTCCCCTGAGGACACAGCACTGATGGTTGGCAGTTGTAGGAATAAGGTGACTCAAGATTTTCGTCTCCTGGAGGACCTTGTATGAATTCTAATGCCGCAATGGCACAAGGGATGTGCTGCAATGAGCTGTAGGAAATTGGAATTCTTTACACAGGAATAACACAAAACAGGAAAAAAACCCTCATACATTTCTTACCTCAAACCAATTATTTGTCCTGTCAGAATTCCCCCAGTCAGAAAGATGGAAGTCCCCATGGCCAAGCCACCTCTGAGGTGCTTTGGGGCAAACTCCCCAATATAAAGAGGCTGCACACAGAGCCCAACACCTGCAAGTAAATGGAAAAAACATTTTCCTATCAATAGAAATTGCTTTGCAAATAGTTACAAAACCAAAACACATACAAAATGGGACTTAATTAATTTCCTATTCATTTAGCTGCCTTCAGATTCCAAGCTAAACTACAGAACATTTTCATCAAAAACCTAAAGGATCAGAAATAACAATAATTTATCATTCACCACAGTTTATAGTAGGAATAAGAAATCATTCACCTGAATTTATGCCAATCAAAAACCTTCCAGCAATCAGTAACTCAAACAATCCTGTAGGAAAACTGATCCCCATTAAAATGGAGGCTAGTATTGCTATAACATTATTCATCAAAAGAGCTCCTTTCCTAAAAAGGAGGAAGAAAAATAAAATAAAATAATAATAATAATAATGATACACCACAGAAAAAACAAAAACTGATTAAAACAAACAAAAAACCCCCAAGATCTCAACCAGACATTATGGAAATCTGTAATAATGTGGGTTTTTAAAGTTTTCTTTTCTGATAATGTGGGGGGATAAATGGACTTTATACTGAAGAAACATGCTATCCCCTGGAAACCCAGATGTCTGATACAACTGCTTATGTTTTTAAAATGTCTAAACATAAGAATAATGTATAAATATGACAGAAATGCCTGACAAGGTAGGAGTGGGGTTTCTTCATTTAGACAAATGAAGTGCAACAGATGAAGAAGCACATCCTTACTGGCACAAGGGCTGCAAATGTGTCAGGGGAAACTCATGTTTCCAACACACTCTGTGTGCATTCTCCTACTCAGATTTCAGTAAATGTAATGCAAAGACAAAGGTCAGAATTCAGGGCTCATCCTTGAAAGCCACATTGGAATAAATGGTAAAATTCTACCAGAAAACTCAGCTTTAAAGTGAAAAAAATACTCTTTTCTCCCACTCTTTTCTCATTTATTTACTTTCTATTCCAGTGGGAAGGTAGGAAAAGCAAACATATTTTGATGCTGCTGCTGCAACTGACCTGCCCAGGCGTATGGCCATGCTGCCTCCAAACAAGGCTCCACAGAGGCCTCCGAGGGAAAAGATGGAAGCAATGACAGACCAAAGAAAAGTCAGCAAATCTGCATTTAGCTCCTTGTGATAACGACTGCTCCAGGTCTCATTTAAGAACTTGTGTATATGCTGCAGGAGAAAAGAGTGATGAATGTGGAGCATTTTGTACATCCCTACACACAGCACTACAAATAACTTGCATCCCAACCCTGAAAATCAATTCTGGGAGTTAATTCTAAGAGATGTCAGCTGACTGGCAGAATCTTCCTTGACCACAAGGAAGATCTTGTGTTTCCTACTCCCCACACACCTCAAAGGCCACAGAGCAGCTCTGTGCCCTGCCTCAGGTGCTGTAGCAGAGGAGAAACACAACCCTGACAGGCACTGCCATGAGAGAGCTCTGAGGTCCTTCTGAACAGGGTGGATGGTTGGCCCTACTGTTTTTAGGAACTTCTCACAGCACAGAGGCTTTGCAACCTAAAAAATTTTACTGTCAGGGGACTCCTTCTGACACTTGGTCTAAATCTCCCTGCCTCAGTGTAATCCAAAGAGTCATAGTAAAATCCCTTTTTCAGCTCTAATAATACTCCACCTTTCTTAGAGTATTCATGTGTCAGAACTTTGAGGCTGTTATTCCACATGCTTGCTTTTCTAAAATTTGCCTTTAGAAACACTTGAACTGGCATGTATCTGCAATCAGAGGCTCCTGTTCTTTGCCTGCAAACCGAAACTACAGAAGAACAAACTTCTTGGACTCTCCCTCTGTTCCCAGCATATGACCTGTTCTTTCACAAACAGCTCCTTTGAAGCTTTGTAAAAAGTATACAATGTTGAAGCAAATTCAGTCTTCACAGTTTCCTAACAAATAAATCAGCTGGTGGCAAAAAACTGATACCCACCACTTTCACAAGAACATTTGCTCAGATCCTTGAGTCATCCACAAAATATGCAGAATCCTGGAGGCTACAGCAAAGAACGCTCAAGTAACAAGTGAAAATATTTACAAGATACTCAGCCACTACAGATGGAACATTTTAATTCCCTAAGGAGGACTTTTTCAGTAATCTGCCTTGTGATGGACACCTGTAAATAGTAACTATGCTTTCTCCCTGTGATAGAAAGAGTGGGAATGGCTCAAAGCTGTGTCAGGGGAGGTTCAAACTTGATATTTGGAGAAACAGTGGTGATATCCTAGAGAAAGGGTGGTCAAGCAGAACAGGCTTCCCAGACAAGTGGTCAATGCTCCAAGGGCATTTGGACACTGCTGTTAGTAACACATTTAACTTTTGGTCAGCCCTGAAGTGGTCAGGTAGTTGGACTAGATGGTCATTGTAGGTCCCTTCCAACTGCAAACGTTCTGGTCTATTCTACCCTTAGTGTTCTGGGCTATTTTAGTAATCAAAAAATATATTACTCAGTTAATCCTTCTAATAATAAAGGTATTTATGAGGCATATTAACACTTTAGTCTGACACAGAATAGCTCTGACTGGAGGTACTCACAAACAAATGCACATGAAACCACTTAGGAAATGAACAAGATTTCTTCATAAGGGAGAAAGAACTGCTTCAGTTCCCACTGTGACCACAGCAAAAGCACATTTGGCCTCGTGGCCGAGTTCAGAGAGGAAACAGCCCAGTGAACAAAAGATGAGCTTTTACCTGAGTGGGTGCATTGATAATAGAGACATTGTACCCATACTGAAAGGTGCCTCCAATTCCAACTGCACAAACAGCCAGGAACAACGTCCAGCTGGGGAGCTGGGGAGCAAAAGAAAATCAAGACACTTCAGTGATCAAATTTCCCCTTTCTCCATATATAAAGGCTGTACATATTTCTTTTAATAAACTTCTATTCCCTGAATTTCTCATTGTTAGGTATGTAGACTAATTCTTCATCATTCTCATTCTTGGTCCAGTTCCCAGAAATGCTGAGTTATTCCAGATATTTTACTGTATTCTGACAGAGCTGTGTCCTCCCTAAAGATAATTCATCAACACTTCCTTCTTCCCTCCCTCCCTGAAATTTGCCAGTTGAAATTGATCTTATTAAAGTAAAATCCAATTAACGTTTCCTTACAGTTTCCAAGAATATAAAGTGTTTCTCTGAATGTCAACCGAAGCAATGAATTAAGAGTTATAAATAAGGGCTGCAGTGAGTAGGGTAGAAAAAACCAAAATTGATGTTGTAAATACTGGCACAGCACACTCAGACCCTTACAGTAACTAAGTACTGTAAACCTATTTTGTGTGTTTTATGGGTACAGCAAGGAATCTAGAAGGAAGAGAAAATAAACAAACAAACAACACAAAATAATGAGCATACATCATATAACTTAGGTTTTATTATGACAGATCTTTCGTTCTTCCTGCCCAAATCAGCTGGGCTCATGACATTGCTATGCTGTCTGACATTGGAGTTAGGAGAGAGCACAGATAACAGCCTCATGTGTTCTGAACTCCTGACAGTTTATAAGGGCGTTCACTTCATTCTGAAAACATGACACAAACAAAATTCTATTTGTATTCAATGTAAAACACCAGAATCAGAAAGCTGCTTTTGCAGCTTCCACTTTCTCACACAGCCAGGTGGCCAAGGAAAGCGCAAAATCTTACAAGTCTAATCACTTAAAGTATTTCTATTCAAATGCTAACATAAAATTCCTGCACATTTCACATCTGAACATCATTGCTAAAACCACAACTTCCCTGCAGGATCCACCTTCAGGATGGTTCTGCTTACCTTGCAGGGCGAGCTAGACCCTCTGAGCAGGGGCTGGTGCTCCATTCTGAGCATGGGCCAAATTAGATTTCCTTTGCAAAATTTAATAAACTATGTTACAGAAAAAAAAAAAAAAAAGAAGTGCCAAAGAACTTAAGTTACTAATGTATTAAGACACAGCTTTACTTTTTGTTGTCGTTTTGTTCGATTGGTTTTGGGTTTTTTTCTCCCAGCCCATTGGGACTCTCCTGAAGGGTTCCGAACTTTGTGACAGGGATGTCTAACTTCGATAAAGCCTCACAGCAGCCTCAGGGAGCTTTCCCACCTCTTACACTGAGTGCATGCACTGTCCTTCTCTAACCCCGCACAGAACCCGCAGCCTCCCGCAACCAAAGACAAGGACGGGCGGTTACCGTGTGCCGGGGCGCCATCCCTCCCTCCTGCCGCCCGGAGCTCAGCCCCGCTCCGCTCGCCACCTCCCGGAGCCCGCCTGAGCTCCTCAGCTGACCGGGATTTGGCTGCCGGACCGTGCCCGCCCCGCTGCGGGGATTAAGCCGCGCCACGGGCAAGAGAGGGGCTGTACGGACATTCTCGGGGAGCCCACGGCGCCCCCACACGGGCCACGGGCAAGAGAGGGGCTGTACGGACATTCTCGGGGAGCCCACGGCGCCCCCACACGGGCCACGGGCAAGAGAGGGGCTGTTCGGACACCCTCGCGGAGCCCACGGCGCCCCCACACGGGCCAGGGCCAGGACCTGGACCCCGCTGCGCCCCCTCAGGGGCCACGGCGGGTAGCCCGCGGTGGGCGCTCCCTCACGGGTCACGGATAAGAGAGGGGCTTTTCGGACATTCTCGGGGAGTCCGCGGCGCCCCCACACGGGCCACGGCGAGTAGTCCGCGGTGGGCGCTCCCTCACGGGCCACGGACAAGAGAGGGGCTGTTCGGGCACCCTCGGGGACACCGCGGCGCTCCCCTCCCGGGCCACGGCGGCGGGGAGCCCGCGGCGCCCCCTCACGGGCTGCGGCGGGGAGCCCGCCCGCTCTCAGAGCGCGTCTCCCACAGCACCCAGGACTACAACTCCCACAGGTCCCACAGCACTCGGGACTACAACTCCCAGAGGTCTCCCAGAGCCCGGGACTACAGCTCCCACAGTGCCCGCGGGTCCTTATCGGATCGCAGCGAAAGGCCTGGAAGGACCCGGGCTGTAGCGGCGGCCGCAGCCGCGGGCCCGGCTCGGCCCGGGTGAGCGCGGCGGGCGGAGGAGGTTTCGTGCGGGAGGGCCTCGGGCAGGGCCGGCGTGTGGCGCAGCGCGGATTGCGGCGTTGATGTGCGCTTTGCCCCCCGCAGCAGGAAATGGCAGCGCTAGGCAGATCCTTCCAGGGCATCCCGGCGGGCCCGGCCGTGGAGCTCCCCACAGCGCCGGCCGCTGCCCCGGAGCCCTTAGCCGGCGGCCACGGCCGTCTGCAGCCACCCGGCATGGTCATGGCAGGGATCGGAAACGACGGCGTGGACGGACCCTCCGGCCTCTGTCTGCAGAGCAGCTTCGACCTGGCCTCGCTGGCCGCGCTCGGCAGCCACAGCCAGGGGCTGACGGTGGCCCCGGTGAGCTCCTTCACCAGGAGCCGCAGCCAGTAAGTGCCAGAGCTGTTCCGCAGGGCCCAGGCAGGGGGGAACTGCGGCGGGTGCTTTGCTTTGGGATTTGTTTCCTTGTAGCAGTGTTGCGCTGGTAGGAGGTTAGAAAATTGTCTTGTGCTCGGTTAAGGACCTTGAAGCTGGCTGGGGGGGGGGGGGGATGAAGGAACCGTTTAAAAGGCAAGAACCAGCATCTTTGCGTACTTTCAAATTTATTTATTTGTTTCAGTATTTTTTCAGTATGTCCCTGTGATACAGAGTATTAAGAGACTCAAGCTCGGTCATGTGTTGCTTCTTGAAGCATTTGAATTTTAGACCAAAAAATTGGTCTTGCCCCTTGTGGAAAACTAAATAATGTAAAGGAGAAGAAATTAGTATGGTATTCTGTCCAGAGAACTGAGCAATTACAGCTGCCTTTGACTTCCTTTTTAACAAAGTGGTTATTTATTGCCCCAAACTTTTATTCCCATCACAGCTGGTGACACACTGTCACCATTGATCTCAGATGAAATTTTAAAAGGAAGGAAAATATTGTTTGACACTATCAGTATAACCAAAAGATACAATTTGAAGCTAAGTAACTGTTTTTCTTTTGTAGTGTCTCTGTGCGATGTGGAAGGAAGCATAAGCTAGAAGAAGAGGCAGAAGGGTAAATTAATTTGTCTTTTATAGCCTGAAAAATCCTGATTTGCTTTTTGTTTTGTTTGAGCACATCTCACCTACAGTACAAACAGGAAGGAAATCTATCATTGTTTCCCTTTGGAACCCTTCCCTTGAATTGCACATGAGCCCAAATCCATTTCTGTTACCTAATTAATTGTGTGGCACTGATTTTCCTGAATAGGTACTCACATTTTACTAAGAGCAATGTGGATTCATTTTCTTTGTTGAGGTTGCTTTGCCATAGAGTGTCAAAGCTGCTGAGATGCACTTTACATTTGTTCCTGTAGAATGCCACGTTTCTTTTTTTGACAGTTGTAAACTTACTTTGTTTCCTAGCTGTCCTGTGCGGAAGAAGAGACTGACAGGAACCAAAAATTGCCCTTTGAATCCCAACACTGAAGAATGGATTCTTTGTGCAGGTCAGCAGGCAGCTGGGGAGGTAGCAAGTCAGTATGGTGGCAGCGGTCCTGAAACTGCCATGTTAGAAATTCCCTGTGAAGAAATGGATCAGACAATGGGGGAACAGCAATGCGAGGTTGCTCGCAGGAAACTTCAGGAAATTGAGGACAGGTAAATGCAGGGATTGAGTAGCCTGGCTTTGCTGAGCTTTCCCTTTTTTGGTGGGCATTCAGGGGTAAATCTAGCACTTAGCAGTGTGATAACACTGCTGTAAGTCTGAGGTGAACCTTCTGTTTAAATTATTTCATTTTAGGCTACCTATGGTCCTGTGAGTCATCAGGCTGATCAGAAATTTTGGGTGCTGGAGCAGGAGATGCTGAGTAAATAACACCCTGCTCACAATCATTATGCAGCTCCAATATACAATAATTGGGTTTAATGCTCTTCTGTGAGCATCCAGAAGCTCAAATTCTAACATCTCCCTGCTCAGGCTTCAGCTCAGTTTTTTTCAACCAACTGCAGCTTGTTCTGTGATTTAAACTTAAAATAGATGTGAATTTGTCAGTGGAGAGAGTAGCATGAACCAAAGAGGTCTCTCTGCACATAAGGCTGAGATTGATCTTGCTGATGGTGTCATGTGGGTAATTGGGTGGCTGTAGACAGTCTGCTGTGGTGTTTTAATAAATTTACTGTGCATTCTGGCCCTTGGAAGATTCTGGAAATGGCATGTATATGTATCAGGTGATTGCAGGTGAGCTGGTATTCCAAAATATCTAAAATGACCACTGCAGATGATTAGAAAAGCCAAAAGATACAGAAATTTTAAAACAAGATTTTTTTGTAGATTACTCCATAGATGATGCATAAGGAGAAGCAAGGTACTGTTAGATTGTTTTTTTTTTAATGGGTAAATCAGAGTAGTGAAATCTGTCTCTGTTATCTATGTCTGCTTTGGTCTTCTTGGAGGATTGTTCCCTATTCTTCCCAGCTACACTGCTAAATTTTCTATAAAACAAAAACCAAAAACAAAGGAGATGCTTCCATTTGTTCTAAACACTTCACCAATTTGTGCTGATTTAATCTCAGGAACTGGCACAGCCTTGTGAAAAGTGAAGGATTATTTTCAGTGCAATAATTCTCAATTCCAGTTTTGGGGAATTGAGCAGGTGAAGCAGCTGCATAGCTGAGACTCACCTGTGTAATGTGGCTGAATCATTCAGTTTCCATTGGAGGGAATTTGTTTATTTTCTCTCAGTGTATGTTTGTACTGACACTGCTGGGATAACACAGGGGTAACAAAGCTAGCTCAGGTACCAGGAGTGGCATTACTGTTTGAGTGGCTTCTGTGAGTCCTCCTCAGGGTGTTTTGGCCCAAGAGAGACTCACTCATGTTAGCATGGCCCTGCTGCTCCTGCTACCCAGCCCAGGTCAGAGATGTGCACAGAGCAGAGCACGTAGATGTGACTGTAGTCTGCAGAGATGTTCCTGATAACAGTTTGCTCAATAGTGTTTATCTCCCTCTTCCCCCTCCATTCCTAGGATAATTGATGAAGATGAGGAAGTTCATGCTGATGGAAATGTTAGCAATCTGCCCACTCTTATCCTGTCAGATACCCTTAAGAAAGGGATGAAGAGGGATTTTGGTGAAGTCCTGACAAAGAAAATAATAGAATCTATGTAAGTTCTGGAGGAAATCATGGTGCTATGTAGCTAACATGTGCAAATGAAAAGAGAGACCTCGTTTCATGTTTATGGAGATGTCCTTGATTACTGCATGATGCAGCCAGCATTGTGTAACAGACCATTCATCTGGTTCAAAGAGGAAAAACTGTCCTGATGTAAAAAAGAAATAAGTGTGACTGTAGTGGTCATCAGATGTCTGTTTTGTACTCCTCATGTCTACAGAGTGAAGTTTGTGGAGTGAACCAGTATCAGTTTTGCATTTAAGTATATGAATTTTTATCTTGAATTATGACCAGCAGTGGTCAAATTTGGTGCAAAAAAAAGAAAGGAAATACAAGGTTAGAACTAGAAATAAGGGAACTAGGGAGTAGGGAAGAGGAAATTTAATAGGGGGGGGAAAAAGGTATTTATTTTCTGGAATATGGTTCCATAGCTCAAAGGATGAAGGTCTTCTGCATTTAATAGCTGTGCTTGGAGAACTTAAAATTTACTGAAACTCCTCCCTTCTAGGAGCCGTCCTTCTATGGAACTCGTGCTTTGGAAACCTCTTCCTGAATTTATGACAGATAAACTGAAGTCTGTTTCTGTTAAGAACTTCAAGCAGCAGAGTACAGAAGTATGTCAAGCTAAGCAGCCAATACCAAGAGCTCCTTTTGACCCACAGACTGAAACGTTCCCTGGATCACAACAGACTGCCATGTCTCCAGATCCATATGCTAGTTTGGGAATATCTGGGTGTGCAGAAGAAGAAATGGAGTTGTAGATGCCAGACTTTAGACTGGAAGTGGTGAGCTTCTGATGCCTATTGTTGAGGTTTTTTGATTATTTTTTTCTGGTTTGATGTGTGAATCTGAAGTTATATTATTTGTTTTTTTGTTTTCTTACTAACAATCATAAGCACACCACAATCATAGGGTGGCCAGGAAACACCCTAAGATTTCTGTGTTCCAATCTGTTAAATATTCTTATTTTTACTGAAAAGGTAATTCAGAGGCCTTTGGAACAGGGAAGTAGCTTTCCATCTTGCTTATTGGTGAAATATCCTCTTAATTGCCCTTGGTAAAGCATAAAATCCAAATATTGAATGTAACTGTGGCTTAAGCCACACCTTTGTCTTACTGAGCCATTGAAACTGGTGCACATACTATTCTTGGCCATTTGGTTTAATTTGAATTACAAAATGTAAAGGAAGAAACATCTTCAAATCTAGTCATGGGTGGAAAAGCAGTCCCTCTGGTAATACAGCTTTTCACACCATCTTATTTGTTTGGACTTTATGTAAACTCAGATGTAGAAATTACACAGTCCACGGGGTGCTAAGGAAGGAATATTACAGCTGAGCTTAAGTCTTTTGCTTTGTAGAAAGTAAAGCCAGCACTTGTAACTTGCAGGATACCTGCTGACTTCAGTCATCTTTGGTTCATTGGCTTCTAAATTTTATTTGTGGGTTTTTGATGTTCCCTTCCCCAAAGTGGTTCTCAGCAGAGAGATTCACATTTTACATTGTGCTGAGATTCTCTGTATGCATGGAGTTGGAAAGTCAGGACAGTGTAACTTCTGCTGAAATGAATGGCATCCATTGATTTGGGTAAACATGATAAGTAAACCTGCTAACAGGGATGATGGTGCTTGCTGCCATTGGGAGGGTCAAATGCTGGGTCTGTACCCAAGTCCCAGCCCTTGGTGGCTTTGGTGGTGAGGTAAAGGAGGTGCCTGTCTTTTTCCTGAGAGAATCTAGACATAAAATTTAAGCCACAGTATGTGCCAATAATATAGCCTCACATTGTTTATACAGATGTTTGCCAAAAGAACTTTGTACCCTGCAAGGGTGCCAAGGAAAGGAGTTCACAATGAGCTATTGCTTGTACCTTTTCTCAGTGCACAGCAGTTTGTTATGCTTAAGGTTTTCTAACTTGTTTAAGGGTTTTATCTTTTGTTCATAAGTCCTTGAGCTTTCTCAGAGATACCTGAACTGAGGCTTTTATAAGAAATCCTTTCCAAGTAACAGGTTCTGTTCAGAGTCCTATGTCCCAATCTGGTTTTGACATCCTGCTAACATAAAGGAGCAAGTACACAGGAATGCAGCTGCAGAAAATCTACTCTTCTCTGCACAGCTAAAAGATAATCCATGTGATAATATTCTTCACTGTTGAATAACCCATAGCTGAAAGCTTAAAATCAGCCTTCTCTTTTTGCAGTCCTTCTGGTTGTTCAAAACATACCTGTTTGTTGAACCCTGTTTATCTTGCTGCTTTTGTTGAAGGTTGTCTGAAATTTCCTGTCTCATGGTAAAACATTTTAGAGTTCAACTAAAAACACTCCAGCATTTCAGCAGGTATTACTCTGGAAACCAGTGCACACTATTAAGTTGAAGAACATGTGCAGCCTATCTTGCTATAATGCCTAATTTCATTTCAGGGTCTGCTATAAATCTTTTGCATGAACTGTGGAAATTTTCTTATGTATTATTAAGCTGCTGAACATCTTTTAAAACCTACAGCCTCTGATGTGCTCCAGTGGTTGAGCAGAACATAAAGCAGTCAGTTTGGACAAGGCTGTAGTCACTGCAGGTAGAAAATCTGATGCCTCCAAGTAAGTGACTGGTTTTCAGCTTGCTGGATTATAGTTAAAGTATTTTAGGTGAAAGCTCTGAATCCTAAATAAATTGAAAAAAAAAGGATACAAATTTCAAAAATGTTATGAAACCATCTCAGCAACATTGAAACTGCAACAGAAGATTTTAAAAACCTCTGGGAGGCCTAAATACATCAATTGATGCAGTTGTTTTTCTCTTAAAAACACCAAATTGCATATCAGATTTACAGAATTTGTTGTAGATGGCTTTTAAGCATACTTTTTTTCCTGCTAGGTTTGTACCAAAGGTTGACTTTGAGGTGTTTTTCCTCCTAATTCAATGCCAGTGGGGCATCACTGACCTGTTACTGCCATCTAAAACAAGAATAGAGTGGTGCACTGTTGACAAAGACTATGAGATGAAGAAAAAAAAATTGTCTAAAAAGTTTGCTTTGATAGAAAACATTTGCTTTCATTTTTTCACAATGCATTTCTGCCCTTGTGATAGGAGACAGAGGGGTTGAGTTGCTTAAATTGATGGAAGAGTGGGCACCAAGTGACAGGAGCACTGAGCAAGATCCTTGCTGCAGCAATCACTTGGAGAGGGTGACTGGATGGGAGATCAAGCTGTAGGCATTTACAGACTTCTGTATTTGTGAGTTTCATTTGTTGTTGTCTTCATTAAAGACTTTTATTAATGCTGTTCACAGACAGGATGGCAAAGGCAACGCAGTATTAGGAAAAACATTATTTTGAAATATTAAAGATCTGATTCTGGTCTGTCTTCTCTTGGGACCAAATCACCCTTTGTATGTTAGTTTTCAATAAATTTTCTAAAATATTTTTTAGATGACTGTTTCATTCCTGGTAAGAGTGATAAAACCTTGGAAGTCTATGTGTAGTCCTTGAGCTGGACAGTGAAGTTCTCTTCTGGCTTAAGAAGATCTGAATTTATCTATGTTATGTCAAAGGCATTCCCCTTTTTTCCTCCACAGTATTCACCAGGACAAGGGAAGGCAACAGCAGAATAGAATAAACCTGAAGCTGCCAGGAAGGAAAAGTTATTTTAAGTCTGTCGTGACCCAAAGGCCTCTGACAAAGCAATAGGGGTACCAATAAGCATTGCTATAGCTTGTGTTTTGAGATCTTTTATTTTACTTCAGAATAAAACTTTTCAGGATTAAGCAAGCTAGATATTCTTAAAGTTAAGGAATGTTTGAGAAGAGTTTTAAATTCAGATTTTAGTAATTTTCTTGGAAGGTAAGACTTGCTTTTTTTGTGTACCATCTTAGTGGACTTGATTCTGGTAGAAAATACCAGTGCACATAAGGATTCTCCATGGTAGTAGGCTTCCAGATGCCAAACAAGAACTACTTCTGTGGTTTTAGTGGAAGAGGTCTCAGTAACCATTAACACCAGTGTTTGGAGTAAGCCAGGATAAAGCATGCCAGGATAGAGCTGTTGAGAAGGGGGAGCAAAACAGTGTAAAGAGTAAAGACCACATCCTTGAACATTTCTGTCTCCTGTGCTTAACGAGGTTGAAATGTTAAGCACAGCCCATGCCCTACTGTGATGAAAAGGAGAATGTAATACAATTTTCTTTGGATTTTTTAGATGTTGAAATGGCTTGCTCATGGTTGCCAGGAAGAGCTGGGGCTCCATAAAAGGGTGCTTTCAAAATGTATTGCAAAGCTACAGATCAAATCCTCACTTCTGCTTTTTTTGGACATGCAACAATTGGATACTCTTGCAGTCATCCCTATTTTCCACCGTGAAAGTAAAGCAATTTATTCTTCTGACTACTTGGATTTTCAATCTGAATTTGTTGCACTGCACAGTTGTAGCCTTTACTTCTGCCCACTATTCAGGTGGAATCCTTCATTATAAGCTAGGTTACTCAAGCTTGTAATCCAAAGCAGTCCTGTCACCTTGAATGTTACTGACTGAAACATCTCTGGTTTTTTTTCTTCCCCACCCCAAGTTATTTTTGCCAAAATTGAATGCAAAACGTGCAATAGCACAGAAACCAAGAACAGCTGTGCCAACACCTGCAACAGCTCTCTTATTTTCAGTATAAAATTTCTTCTGTCTCTCCAAGCTTTCTTTTAATATTGTATAAATACTGGAGCAAATGAATGTGGACAATGAGAAGTCCTTCTGTGGTATTCGAAATGAGCTCCTTACAAGTCCATTTGATGCTTCAGGATTTCCTGTGGTACTACAGAATCTTCACACCATGTCTGTGCACCCACCTCCCCTCAGATGGAGAATTTTGGACAGCATTACTGGCCACCAGGCTGCCACCACTGCCCTGACTTTTGAATACTCACACTTCAAGCTCCTGCCACCTGCCTGCCTCACAGAGGCTGAAGGTTTTGCTCTGGCCCTCACACAAACCCATCCACCACATCCAGTGCCCCCAAAAGGGAACTGCTGAAGCACCCAGCTGCAGACACCTTATGAGCAGTGCTCCCCAATATATTGTGGCAGGATGAGACACTGAGGGACCTGAACTTAAATTCTCCAAGGCCCAGATGCTCTCCCCTCCCCAGTGAGTTCTAAGGCAAAACAGGGTCAGTGAGCTGCACTGCATTTTAATTGCACCAATACAGTTAAATATTAAATGGACAAAGCAACTCTACATAGCAAATGGAAAACAAGCATTTAGTGAAGCTGTAAGACTTAGAGACTATTAAGGTCTAGCCCAGTTGCATGAATATCCCAGTTTAGTTTTTGGTGTTAAAATTTTAACTGGAAAACAAAACATTTTCAGGTTCTCAGAGAATGAGCAAGTTATTGAGAAACAAACCTGCCTCTCTCCTAAGCCAACACTGACTGGGGGGAGCCAGGGCAGGACAGGACACCCCAGGCTTTTTCATACCATCAACCAGCATGGTAAAGGTGAGAAACACTTTTCTGAATGGGCTTGATTTTGCCCACACACACCCCAAAGGGGCATTGCAGATTTCCAGACAGGACAGTTGTTGACAGGGAGTTAACACTACAGGTTAGACACTGATGAGCTGGGGAAAGAGTTCCTTGGCAAAGCTGTCCTCCCACGCGTGGTCAGCGCCAAGCGGAGACGACGTATCGCTGAAGGGGGACAGGGATCCTTCATACCCAGAGTCACTACAGCCATCCAACAGGTAGCTTGAGGCTTCAAGGCTATGACAAGAAGAAAGCAGATGAGAAAAGCCCAGTTCAGGCATGAAGCTGTCTACAGGTTCCTTCTTCACAGACACTGGGACTTCAGGGATGGCCTTGTCGTCAGATGAAGAGAGATTTTCTTTCTCAATTTTCATTTGCATATTGGTTTGGTTGGCCACTTCAACAGGAATCTCCACTACCAGGGGTTTTGTATACACGTGATCAAACCTTATGAGTTCATTAATGGCTTCCAGCTTGGCTGATGGGGACCCCAAAGAGGGAGAGAGGGCGGCTGGTATGGAATTTGTTTCTCCAGAGATCTCTTCATCCAGCTTTTCCAGGCACGTTGACTCTGAATCAGCATATTTGAGAAACAACTCTGGGTCCAGACTGTCCAGAAAGCCCAATAGGACATCAGACTGCAAAATGAAAGACAATTTTAGAAAGACAGTTTATTACTGTTACAGCCAAACACCAAAAGTGGCCTCTACTAACCTCCACGTGGAAGTTAATATACACTGATGCAATCACAGTTGTTCTACCAAGAATATCATCAAATACACAGTTAAGGCAGTTACCTACCTTGCAGAAATTCACAGAATAGGCCAGGTTGGAAGGGACCACAGTAGGTCACATGTGGTCTAATTTCCCTGCTCAAGCAGAGTCATCTTAGAGCACGTGGCACAGGATTGCACCAGCTGGTTCTCAACTGTCTCCAGTGAGGGAGACTCCACACCCTTTTGGGCAATCTGTACCAGG